CCCTTGGTTCTACTCACGTAGAAAGCTAATGCCCTACGAACATCTAGCAGGTGGAGCCCACACTCTAATTGGGAAACTGGACCTTGAAAGAAGGCCGGTAAAACAATGTCTTGCAACATATGAAAACTAGACGTCACTTTGGGAAGAAATGTAATGTCTGTCCGGAGGACTACCTTATCCTTATGGAAGCAGAGGTAAGGTTCGTCAGACCAAAGGGCGCAAAGTTTGCTAACCCGTCTTGCTGATGTTATAGCCACCAGAAATGACGTCTTCCACGAAAGATAGGCCATCTCACAAGTGGACATGGGCTCGTATGGCGCCCTTTGGAGAGACGAAAGAACAACCTCCAGATTCCATGAAGGGGCACTCGGGGCCACCGACGGTCTTATATTCCCGTACCCTTTCAAAAACAACTTAACAAGGTAATCCGAGAAAAGAGAGGGCAACCCTTGCTTCCGCCTATACCAGGATATGGCAGCTAAGTAACACTTAAGCGAAGAAAGGCATAGGCCCAGATCAGAAAGGGATACTAAGAAGTCTAACACCGACGAGGTCGGGGTAGTTACCGGGTCAATACCTTTCTCCGCCATAAACCTAGAATATTTAGCCCACTTATAAACATAGGAACGCTTTGTAGAGGGCTTATGAGCCGCCTCCACAATAGCTTTAACTTTGCTTGATAGATGTGAAGACACACCTAGTCGTCTGGAGCGATCATCCAAGCTGTGAGCTTCAGAGTATGTACATCCGGGTACAAGACCCGCCCCTTCTGAGAGGTTAAGAGGTTCCCTCTTTGCGGTAGGCGTCTGTACATCCCCTTGGACATCTCCAACAGGACCGAGAACCACGGCGGGGCCACCATGGCGCGATCAATATACAATGTCCTCTGTCCCTTCTCAGCTTCGAGAAACCTTCAGAAGTAGGGGAAAGGGTGGAAACGCATAGAGGTAGTCCACATTCCACCTCAGAAGAAATGCGTCCCCCAAGCGGAAACATGGGATCATCTACAGTTGACTGAGGTTTTAGGGCAGGAATATCAAGAGCCGTTATCATCCTCCCCAGTAACTGCATAAAGTTATTAAAGTCATCTGAACGTTTAGCAGGGGCTTCTTGGTCACCCCCCCCCCCATGTGATGCTTCCAACCCGTCATCAGACAAGTCAGTGTCAATAGTGTCCTCTCGAGTTGGATCAACAACAGGCAGTTCATCTGATGTCTCAGTGTGAGCCCTCATGGAATGTCGATCATTATAAGAAGGTGCTTGATACATAGGGTTTGAAACCACTCCCCTTCCACGTGGTGGAGGGGAAATCAAAGCCGGGTCCCTTTGGCACATCAAGGGGGCATCATTGTGATATGGCTGCCAAGCCCCTCCTCGCGACGTTGAGGGCTGAGGTGAATGACCATAGTAAATGAATCGCCCCCTAGGCGTCACTTGGTAGAAACCCGGCTCAGGTGGAGGAATTCCACTCCTCTCTTCCCAATCTTCCCAATGAGATGGGCGAGAATGGGGAAAGGAACGACGTTTGCAGGCTTTTGCCTTCTTGCGTCTCGCTTGTGAGCAAGAAGACGCAGAGCACGTTGAGGAGGAAGAGTCGCTAGACGTCGATCGATCCCGACGTCTCCCACTCTTCCTGGACCGTGATGGAGCGCGCGCACGGTGCCGCGGCACAGCTACGGGGCTTTCCCGGCCTGAAGGACGGCTTGTGGGAGAAGCCTGTCTTAACTCCTCCCTGGGCTCGCTTATACAAGACGCAGGGTCTGTTGGCGCCAAGAGCGTCGGCATTGGGGGCGTGCCCGAACTCCCTTGAGGCTCTTCTTGCGCACGCGCGAGGCGTGCTCTAGCCGATCCCGGCTCCGCCTCAACTCTCTCCTGCGCACGCAAGGGGCGTGCTTTCGCCGATGCCGGCTCCGCCTCATTGCCTGTTTTTTTTTTTTAATAATTTTTATTGCATTTTAGTGAAGTTACAAGGAAAGTGGGGGAATAATTGTGGAGGAGATAGGAAAGTAGGAAATAATAATAAGCATAGAGTGTTGTGGAAAAAAAATATCGAAGGGGGAAAAGAAAAAAAAGAAAAAAAAAGGAAGGAAAGTGAAAAATAAAAATGAAAAATAAAAATAAAAATGAAAAAGTCAAGAAAAAAAAATAAAAAAATAAAAAAGAGAAAAGAATGGACTTCCATCTGTTCTTTGAAGATCTTCTATGTTTATATTGAGAAAAAAAATCCAAAAACATGGTATATTAAAAAATTGAAAACGAAAAAATATCATTCATTTTAAGTAGTCCATTATGCTTTCCTGTGATGCAGTTATTTATATTCTATGTTATTAGGTATCAAAGAATGACCTCTATTTTCTGTTGCTTAAAATAATTTTTCACCAAATCCCAGTTTGTGTGTTTTTTTCGGTTTTCCTTCATTCGGTGTCAGCCAGTACGTTAGCTCATCCATATTGATTATTTCTAGTATCTTACATTGCCATTCTTCTATTTGTGGTATTTCTTTCTGCCTCCATCTCTTGGCATAAACAATCCTGGCTGCTGTGATCAGGTAGTTGAAAATGATATCTTTATTTTTGTCTCCTATTATATCGTACATTCCCAGCAAGAAGAACTCTGGTTCTTTTCTCATTTTTATGTCAAGTATCCTTTGTATGTTAATATAGATTGTATTCCAAATTTTTTTAGCTTTTGGGCAAGACCACATGTGGTAGAAGGATCCTATATGTTGATCACATTTACAGCATCTGTCAGGTGCATTTTTGTGAAACTTTGAAATCTTCTGTGGCGTAATGTACCACCTATGTATCATCTTAAGTTGGTTTTCTTTTAAATTATAGGAGTAGGTGTACTTCATTTTCTGATTCCAAATCTTCTCCCATTGTTCTAAACAAATTTGATGGCCTATGTTTTGTGCCCATTTAATCATTGATTCTTTTATTTGTTCTGTTTCCGTTGTCCATTCTAATAATTTTTTGTAAATTTTTGTTATTATTTTATTGTTTGTCCTCATAATGGTATCCCAGAATCCCTCTTTAGTCCCAAAATTTGATTCTTTATCAATTTTATAGCAATCTAGAATTTGTCTATAGTTCAACCACGATAGGGTAGTGAAAATTTCTTTAATCTCTTTTTCTTCTCTTAACTCAAATGTTCCTCTTTCTGATCTTAGTAAGTCTTCATATGTAGGCCAGGTTTCCCAGCCTAGCTCTCTTTGTTGCCTGTTTGAGGATGCATCGGCCATGTCGCAGCCGATCCCGGCTGGGAAATGGGCTTAGTTGCAAGGGGAGGCTGACTCTGCCTCATCCCCGGTTCGATCAGTATGGCTCTCTTAGGCTGCTTAATGGAACCTTTAGCTTTCTCTATATTTTTAGTTTTCTTAGTCTTCTTCAATGCCTTGGATGCGGTCTCCAATGCAGGTAAGTCTATTTTCTCGGCTGGGTTTTGGTCGCCATTTTGTCCCCTTGGCGTTGGAGGGAGGAGTGCCCGCTCATACAACACCGCTTTAAGGCGGATTTCTCTTTTTTTTCTTGTTTGGGGGGTAAAGGATTGGCAAATAGCACAAGTTTGCGACAAATGTCCTTCCCCCAAACATGCAATGCACAGAGAGTGTGCGTCATATCAGGGAAGTTTCCCTGGCAAGTGGAGCAATGCTTAAAGCCTTTAGTTTGAGACACTGTTCTAATTAAAGCGTCTACGCTGATTTAAGTTGAAATTTAAGTTGAAATCTAGAAGTAGTTTTGTCGTCAGATACAGATTTAGTCAAAATTGTTCTCTACAGAAGATTTTGAGCTCGCTGTTAACGCGGATGAAGAGAACTGAGGCGGTTAGCCAGCCCACGGGCTATATATGCTCGAGGGGAGTGTGGGCGGGACCAACCGCCATTTCTTTCAAATTTAACAGAAGATTCCGAAGCTGTGCTGCACGCGCACAGGGGATATTACCATATGTGTGTATTCACAGCAGACCACGCAGGGAAACTAAGGCTCATCTCTTCTTGGAGTTGACCCCCCCTAAAGTCTAGTTCGACTGATCAAGTGGTCCCTGGTCAAAGCGGTCCTTCTTCAAAGTGGTCCCTGCTGAAGAGGGCCCTGGTCAATGTGGTTTCTCATCAAATGGACCCTGGTCAAAGTGGTCCCTGCTCATGAGGGCCTTGGTCAAAGTGGTCCCTGGTCAACCAACCAAGGATTCTTCCTGGCGGGAAACAGTCCAGCTTTGAAACTGCAAGGCCACTCAATGGTAATCGAGCTGGTCAGTGGCAACAATCACACCATTATTTCTATATTCTTTATGTCATGAAGAATTCACATTCTTTATTTATATCCCACTTTTCTCCCTCACAGGACCCAACATATTAATGCCATACAAATCACAGCCCAAATACTTCAATCCTAACCAGTAAGACCAAAAATGGATATAAAGCATCTTAAAATGGGCCATTTTGAAAAACAGCCATTACAAAACAAATCAGGGCAATCCAACTAATTGCTGAGATGAATCAGCACAAAATAATGATTGCAATCATTCTAAATCCCTGTTCCTTTGTCGAATCATGTAAGAGGCATCTAGAATTACACAGCCATCTGTGCTATCCACTCAGTTACCACAAAAAACGGGTAATGTTATATTCTTGTTTAATATGAGACGCTTTTCAAGTAGGGCGATGGAAGTAGATAAGATGTTCCTAGGGAGGGGAAGGCGAGGAAGGCGGTTGGCGGGGCCGCGCATGCGCAGTAAGGAGGCCGATTGGCAGGCCGGTTGTTCCTCGAGCGAGGGCTTTCACTTGAAAAGGGCGGGGCGCGGGGAAGCGGGCGGAGAGCGGAGCTGGAGACGGCCCAATGGGGAGGCGCGGGCGGCGGTTGAGGAGAGGCGGCGGCCAATGGGCGCGCGGAGGGCGGGGCTGGCGACGGCCCAATGGGGAGGCGTGGGCGGCGGTTGAGGAGAGGCGGCGGCCAATGGGCGCGCGGGGAAGCAAGCAAGGGGCGGGGCCGGGCGCTGGAGCCTGGTTTGCGCCGCTCTGAAGCGGCCAGTGGGCGGGAGGACGGGCCAGGCGGGCGCCAACGGTCCCGGCCGTTCTTGAGGGGAGGCGCCCCCTCGGGGAAAGGAGAAGGTACTGCGTGGGAAGGCGCTTCAGGCCTAGCTTGGGCCTGCTGGTCTACCTCGCAGGGCTGTGAGGAGGAGCCAAACCAGCCCTGCGAGGTAGGCAGGCCCAAAGAGAGCCCTGCGCCCATTGGCTGGTTCACAAGGATGAAAAGCTGTCAACAAATACACGTTTTAGCACAGGCCTGGGCCAACTTTGGCTCTCCCTCCACGTGTTTTGGACTTCAACTCCCACAATTCCTAACAGCCAGTAGGCTGCAAGGAATTGTGGGAGTTGAAGTCCAAAACACCTGGAAGGAGAGCTGAAGTTGGCCCAGGCCTGTTTTATAATTTATTATAACAAATATAAAATTTTCTAATGTATTGTAATAATAAAGTATTTATTTCTAGCCCGCCCTCTTTCCCACAAAGGGACTCAGGGTGGCTTTTAGCACCAATGTCCGTTAGGGGAGGTAGAAGGCAAGCCTTTCAATGGGAGGTATCAGGCACAATTAGCACTCCAATGATTCTAATTGTGGGGGGAAAAGTGACATTGGTTTTGTCTGCTTTCCTCCCCAGGAGCCGTGGGCCCATCCACACCCAGCCTGGCTTCCTCCTTATCCGCAGGGTCTGTTCAGGTAAGTCGGACTCAAAGGTTTGCAGGTCTGGGCGAACTTCGACCCTCCAGGGGTTTTGGACTACAACTCCCATAATTCCTAACAGACGGTATGAATTTTGGGAGTTGTAGTCCAAAACACCTGGAGGGCTGAAGTCGGCCCAGACCTGTCTCACAACCCTTACAAAAGATGTTACCGTTGGAAACTGACAACATCAAAAAAGAATTGGCTGGATGTAATATATAATATATAATTTATTCATTTATTTACTGCATTTCTACCCCGCTCTATCTCATCCAGAAGGGGATGCAGAGTGGCTTCCAGTTTGGAAATTCAATCTTACATAATTTATTTTGGGTTGCTGTGAGTTTTCCAGCCTGTATGGCCATGTTCCATGCAGGAAGCAGCCAGACTTCAAAGCTGCAAGGCCCTTCAGTGCTAATCAAGGTGGCTAATGGCAACATTCACACTTGCCTCCAACAGACAAGAGTTCTTTCTCCCACCCTGGACATTCCACAGATATATAAACTCCACTTGCCATGTTTCCAACAAACCTCACAACCTCTGAGGTCATGAGAGAATGCTTCTGGAACATGGCCAGAGAGCCCGGAAAACTCAGCAACCCAGTGAATTTGGCCCTGAAAGCATTCGACAACACATCATTTATTTATTTACCATATTTCTACCCTGCTCTATCTCTCCCCGAGTGGGACTCAGAGCATCTTCCAGTTTTGGCAGCCATTCAGTGCCACCTTAAACAGAGAACAGCAATAAATAACACAACAAGCAATAACATCAAAAACATAACAATACCTTTAAAGCAATTAAAGTTAAAAAAACTTGGCATGATACTACATTTCCTTTGAAGTTGGGATGCCTCTGCTATCACTGTAAGGAGGTCCTCCGTTGTGCATGTGGCGGGGCTCAGGGCCCTTCCAGGGACAGGCCCTATATCCCAGGATGTGATCCCAGGTTTTCTGCTTTAATTTACACTGAATTACGTGAGTCTGCACTGTCAGATAATAATTTGGAATAAACAGAAAACCTGGGATTGATCCTGGGATATAAGGGCTGTATTGGTCTGTTGTTTGCTCTTCTCCACACTCGCATGTTGTGGGCTCCACTTTATGGCCCCATTTCATAAGATTGACTCTGCATCTCATGGAGCCAGATCACAGCCTGTTCAGTGACTTCCAAGTCACCTAAGGCCCTTCCACACAGCCCTATATCCCAGAATATCAAGGCAGGAAGTCCGACATTATCTGAGTATGGACTCTGATAACCCAGTTCAAAGCAGATATTGTGGGATTTTCTGCCTTGATATTATGGGATATAGGGTTGTGTGGAAGGACCCCCAGTCTTCTGTGTGCCCAGGAGGGAGTTTCTTATCTGATCTCAGCCACAGATTGAGGTTTTGGGTTTTAGCCTGCCACTTTTGGACTCTTGTTTGCTGAGGTGGTCCTGTGAGTATCTCTGCAGATCTTAGGAAGCTGTTTCTTGATTAAAGACATTGGCATGCTGGCTGATATCCAAACAGAAGATGGGCTGGAGATGTCCTTTCATTACTGGCTGCTACTTCCTGGCAGATATCAGGTGGTGCAATGCCGGCGAAGTAGTATAATTCCTAGTGTACTCAGCAGCAGAGTAGCCAAGTGCAAGGGCAGATGCCTTCACTGTGTCTGACTGTGATCCCCAGGTTGTGCCAGTCAGTGTTCGTATGATATTATTTCTGGCACCTACTTTTTGCTTGATAGTCAAGCAGTGCTTCTTGTAAATCAAAGCATGGTCCAGAGTGACTCCCAGGTATTTTGGTGTACTGCAATGCTCCAGTGGAATTCTTTTCCAGGTATTCCTCAGAGCTTGAGGCATTGGGGGAGGGGGTGGGGGGGTGGAAAGATGAGAAAAAGTGGACATTGGAGAACTGGAACAATTACCTATATGAACAGGTACAATTCCAAATTATGACAAGTGTCACGAAGCAGGAGAAAATAGAAGCAATCAAAAACAAATGGACAATATATACAGACCAGGGCCCTTTCCAGACAGGCCCTATATCCCAGGATCATGATCCCAGAATTTCTGCTTTAAACTGGATTATATGAGTCTGCACTGCCAGATAATAATCTGGGATAAACAGAAAACCTGGGATCAGATCCTGGGATAAAGGGCCTGTCTGGAAGGGCCCTGGGTAAAAACGGATAAATCCAATACAAATATTATCATGAAAGTAAGAGAATGGTGCACAGGGCTAAAGATAACAAGATAGTGGAAAATGTGGTCGGGAAGGTTGGTGATGGGGGGGAATAATACAGGAGTTTTATTTTGTTTTTCTCTATTTTGTATTATCGTCTACTTAGAAATGTAGCAGTAAATGTTAATACGATAAAGGGATATGTAAACGTTTAAGATCTAAACAAAAGAAATTAATAACACCTAGGAATGGTGGATACAAAACTTCCTAAATGTCATTGCATTCGATTATCTTTAAATGTTTTTCCCCCTCATATTCTGTTTGTCGGGAATTCACTTAATAAAAACTTAATTTAAAAATAAAATAATAATAATTAAAGCTTGACAGTCTAATAGAATAGTTGAAGAAGTGAAGATTTGATGGAAGGTGAAGATGGAAAAAGATATAATAAATAGTTGAAGGCGAAGATCTAATAGAATAATTGAATAAGGTGAAGGTCTAATTCAGGCATGGGCAAACTTTCTAACTTGGGGGTCTCGTAGTGGGCTGGAGCGGGTTGGGTGGGCTGGGAGGGAGGGGTTTCTCCCCAAGACCCCTTACTTGCTTCCCTGGGCGCCCATTGGCCACCGTCCCTCCCTACCCTTTCCTCCCCTCTTTCCTCTTCTCTTTTGGATGCAGAAAGTGAAGGAAAGATGGGAAACATTTGGATCCCAAAAGGGTTAGCCTTGGTCAGGATGAGATGGTGGATGGGAGAGAAAAGATGTATCTATTAAACCCTGAATTGCCTACTCCTGATATAGAATCGTAGAGTTTGAAGAGACCCCCAAGGGCTATCCAGTCCAACCCCCTGCCATGAAGGAAGGAAGGATGAAAGGGTGGAAGAGAAGGAGGGAAGAAAGAGAAGGAAAGAAAGACAAAAGGGAAGAAAGAAAGAAGAAAAGGAGGGAGGGAAGGAAGGAAGGGAATTATGAAAGGAAGGGTGGAAGAGGAGGGAAGGGAGGATGGAAAGGTGAAAGGAAAGGAAGGAAGGAGAGAGGGAAGGAGGGAGAAAGGTGGGAAGGAAGGAAGAATGTAAGGGTGGAAGGGAAGGAGGGAGGGAAGAAAGAAAGAAGGGAGGAAAGACAAAAGAGAAGAAAGGAAGGAGAAAGAGTGGGAAGGAGGGAAAGAGAAAGAGGGAGGGAAGGATGGAAGGAAGAAGAAAGGGGGGAAGAGAAGAATGAAAGGAAGGAGAAGGGTGGAAGAGAATAGAAAGAGGGAAGGAAGGAAGGATGAAAGACAAAAGGGAAGGAAGGAGAAAGGAAGAGAGGAAGGAGGAGAAAGAGGGAAGGAAGGAGAAGGAGGAGGGAAGGAGGAGGGAGAGAAGAGGGAGGAAGATAAAAGGGAAGAAAGGAAGGAGAAGGAAGAAGGAGAAGGAGGAAGGAGAAAGGGAGGAAGGAAGAAAGGGGAAGGAGGAAGGAAGGAAAAGAGAAAGAAAGGGAGGAGAGAAGATGAAAGGAAGGAAGGGTGGAAGAGAATGGAAGGAGGGAAGGAGAAGGAAAGAAGACAAAAGGGAAGGAAAGAAGGAAAGAGAAAGGGGAGAGAGAGAAAGAGGGAGGAAAGAGGGAAGGAAGGAAGGGAAAGGAGGAGGGAAGAAGGAAGAGAAAGAGGGAGGAAGGAAGAAGGGAAAGGGAAGGAGAAGGAAAGAGAAGGAAGGAAGGAAAGAAGGAAGGAAGGAAGGATAGCATGGTGTGAGAGAGGAGGGCCTGACTTTACCCATATCTGGTCTGTTGAAGAAGGAGAAGATCTGACAGCAGGTGAAGATGTAATAGAATAGTTGAAAAAGGTGAAGGGCTAATCAGATAGTTGAAGATGGTCAAGGTCTCATAGAACAGAACAGTTGACAAAAAGATTGGAATAGTTGGAGGTGGAGATTTAATAGAACAATATATTGTCCAAGGTTTTCATGGCTGAAAGCACTGGAGTGTTGTGTGGTTTCCGGGCTGTATGGCCAATATATTCTAACAGCATGTTGTCGTAGGCTTTCATGGCTGGAACCGCTGGGTTGCTGTGAGTGTTCCAGGCTGTCTGGCCATGTTCCAGAAGCATTATCTCCTGACGTTTCACCCACATCTATGGCAGGCGTCCTCAGAGGTTGTGAAGCCTAACAGCATTTTCTCCTTTTTATGTTTCACCTGCCTCTGTGGCTAATACCACCTTCAGAGGATGCTCTGAAGGCAGGCAAAAGGTCAAGGAGAAAAGCAGCTAGGACACATTGGCCACACAGCTTGGAAACCACACAACACCCTGTTAAATAGAATAGTTGACGAAGGCAAAGGCGAGAAGAGTTGGGTGAATGTATAGAATAGTTGAAGGCATAAGTCTAACCGAACAGTTGAAGATGGGGAAGATGTGCAACTTTTTGGCTCCCTATCTGGGGCGTCTTGGATGCTTCAGGTGTCACTTTTCCCCCTCCTTGGCAACTGTCCTCATTGCCAGGCAACCTGATCCTAGGCCTAAGCCTGTGGGCTTTGGGGGGATTAAGGGGCTGTGGGTGCTGCTAGGAGAGCACTGGCTCACCTGGGCCTCCTCTTTGGGCTTGTGGGGGTGGAAGAAAGGGGGGCCAAGGCCGCGCAGAGGGAAGGGAGAGAGTCAGTTGGCCAGCCGGCAGCAGCAAAGCAAAACAGAAAGTGACTGGGCTCCTCTTCTCTGTTTCCCGGACAGCGGGGCGATGGCAGCCGTGAGAGAAGGCGGGTCGGAAACCAAGCTCTGCGGCAACTGGTAAGGCACCCAAGTGGGTGAAACTGGTCTTTCTGCATGGCCAGGTCTCTGGCCATTCCAGGACCAGCCTAGCCAAGGAGAGCCAAGGCACTTGGACCCCGGCTTCTGCCAGTTCTTTGTCTTGTTTGAGAGGTAGCATTAACCAGGAGCCGGGTGGCCCCATCAGCCCCTTTTCCTGGCACTTTTGGGTACTGCTCATTTTATTTTTTTAAAGGAAGTGTAAAGAGAACAATAGCCTTGAAAATTTCCTGTGAAAAAAACAAACAAACCCAAGTAGGATGACACTGCAATTTTTAACTCATTAAGACAATGAAGTGCCTGTGTCCCCCATTTTTCTTTTTGGAGGACGTTTCCTGCCACCCATGTTGCCAAAGGGGAAATGAACTTGTTCCAAAGTCACTTGCCACTTTTTAGTCCCTGGTTCCAGCCTAGGCACGGGCAAACTTTGGCCCCTCGGGTGTTTTGGACTTCAACTCCAGTAGGCTGTTAGGAATTGCTCTCTATTTTTTGAAGTCCAAAACACCTGGAGGGCCAAAGTTTGCTCGTGCCTGTTCAAGCCCCACTTCAAGCTGGTTGCCAGCACTGAGAAGTGGCATGCTTTTTGGTAGACAGACCCCATCGCCTTTTGCGCAATCCCAGCTTTCAGGTCAGTTGGGGAAATATATTTGAACTATCCACAGGTTATAGAAGGGATGAGGGTAGTTTTGAATCCTTCTATACTTGTAAAAAATCAACATAATCTGCTTTGAACTGCATTCTGTGGCAGTGTAGACAAAGGCCCCTTCTACACTGTCCTCATATCCCAGGATCTGCTTTGAACTGGATTATATGAGTCTCCACAGCCATATAATCTGGGATAAACAGATGATCTGGGATCAAATCCTGGGATATAAGGACGGTGTAGAAGGGGCTTCAGACAATCCTGTTCAAATCAGATAATGTGGATTTTCCGCTTTGATAACCTGAATGATCTGGCCGTGTAGAAGGGGCAAGTAATGAGGCTGAGTTTTAAAAATTATTATGAGAGTGGTCAAAAAGGTTTGTCTCCTCTGTCATTAAAATGTTATGAATGAACCTATAACAGCAGAAGTTGCTACAGTTCATAGCCTGAACTGCCTTCTACGCAAAACTACCCTTCAACATAGTCACCATCAATTTGGACACATTGGTGTCATCATTTATCCCAGGCATCCAAACCATTTTGGGAAAGTTCAGGATTTGGCTTTGTGACCCATGATTTCAAAGCTGTTTTAATGTCATTCAAGTCATTTAATCTTTTACCTGTTTGGACCTCTGAAAGACAACCTACATTGTTTCAGATTCAATGACTTGAATGACTTCTGCTGTAATATGTTCATTCATAACATTGTTTATGACACAGGAGGCAAAAGTTTTGACCCACCTGCATGTTATTTAAGAAGTTGTACTTGTTTCCCAAGCAAAACGATGCCCCTCTGAAGTACAGCAAAATGAATTTGGGATTGAGAGAGTCAAGCATTGTATCACTATGTCTTGCATGGTTTCCTGACATTCACTTCAATTCTTTCTGGATTTAGTCAATGAGCGTATATTATTCCTTGTGGATCAGATAATGTTGTCCCCAAATGTGGTTAGAAAGCAGTTATCCTATTCGTCAGGGATGATATAAACTGAAAGCCAACTCAATTGTTTGTTTACATTTTATTGTCGAAGGCTTTCATGGCTGGAATCACTGGGTTGTTGTAGGTTTTTGTGGGCTATATGGCCATGTTCTAGAAGCATTCATCCTGACGTTTCACCTGTATCTAAGCCAGGCATCCTCAGAGGTTGTGAGGATGCCTGCCATAGATGCAGGCGAAACGCCAGGAGAGAATGCTTCTAGAATATGGCCATATGGCCCGAAAAGCCTACAACAACCCAGTGTTTACCTTTTATCCCACTTGCGAAACGATCCTTGACGGCAAAGAACGCCATTAAAAACAAACAATACAACCATTGAAACTCTCAGTAAAATAAACCTAAAACCATTTGAATGAAGGAATACCCAAACGGGTTGATCAGACAATTTCCCTGGTGTCACTGTTTCATGAGTCACCTTGTGTGTCATGGAAGGGATTTCTAGGTTTCTACCAGGAAGGGTCAAAAGTTAGGGCTGACTTCCCAGATGCTTTCCCCGCTTTTGACCTATCCCCAGAATGTTCCCCCTTGCAAAGCCATGTTTCCGTTGCGCATTGCCCAAGCCCTGTCCCCCTCTTCCAGCAAAAAGGAGATCCCGGACGCCAACTTCACCATCCATGAGATCCATTGCAGCAGGAACATTGGGATCTGCCCTACTTGCAAGGAGCCGTTCCCCAAATCAGAGCTGAAGAAACACCATGAGAAGGAGCACACACAGGTGAGACTGCTTCTTTTCTACTTTTCTTTCTGTAATTGACATTTGATTGCGTGCGAATGACAAACAAAAAGCAAAAATCACGTACAAATAGTACAGTAACTGACAGAAACTGTACATAACCTCTCATCACACCCTTCCCCACACCTTATGACTTCCGACACTACTGCACATGAATCGTATACCTATTAAAACCTACCCTTATATCTATTTTAATCAACCCCCCCTTGGGGGTCCTCCCTTTCCAAATATCCAAACGCCAGTCTCCATTTTGTAGCAAACTCCTCATTGTTTCCTCTCCAAATACCATTTGTCAGCTTGGCCATTTGGATATGGTCTAATAGTTTTTCTTTCCGGTCCATTGTAAGTTGCTCTCTTTTCCCCTTCCAAAATTTTGCTATTATTCTCAATCTCACCGCAACAAAGCTATGTTGGCTGATTCTCTCTCTAAATAATTCTAAAAGACACATTTCTCGAGTTTTGCTCTCCGGCAGGTGGCTTGAAAGCCCGATTCTCTTCTCTGACATCTTGTTTTCTAGGTTTACTGCAAATGCAGCATGAAGATGGACCGGGGTCATTTAAAGGAGCATGCGGTTAGTTGGCAGATTGTTGGTGGGCTTTTATTGGGGTGGGTCCTGGGTGGGAGAAGGAGGGCAGGGGATGTGGCTGAATGGCCAGTCTTCCCAAAGAACTCACTGTGGCTAGGTGAGCGATTGTGTTCTTTGCCTGGCAGGGAGACTTGATTAGGAAGCCACTCTCAGCCCAAGGGTATCAGTGGTATCATGGGCCAAAGGGAGCCACATTAGGGCAAACCCAAAGGGTAGGGTTGGCATCCTGGGAAGCCAGGTTGGGTTCCAAGGTTGTCCCAGGCTTTTGAATCCTGCAGTCATGCTGGCTGGGGCGGTCTGGAAATAGTAGTTTATCCGGATTTCAATCTCCTGGATCAGTTCAAGTACAAAGCTGACAAACCGAGCCCCTGTCTTTGCCCTCTCACCCTAGGCTTCCGAATGCCCCTTGCGCTCGGTGACGTGCCAGCACTGTGACATTGAGCTGGCCTTCAACCGGCTCCAGGAGCATGAGGACTACTGTGGGGCCCGCACTGAGCGCTGCCGCCGCTGCCGCCGCAACATCATGCTGAAGGACCTGAGGGAGCACCCCGAGGACTGCGACAAGATGGCTGAGGCGGCAGCCAGCCAGCCCAAGCCCTTTTTCGGGGCCGAGGCGGATGCGCACAACATCCAGGCCATCCGGAACATCTTCCACCCTGTCCATGCCACCGAAACTGTGCCAAGGGCGAGCCACCAGCTTCCTGATGGGCAGATGTACAGTTGCCTCTCACGAGAGCAGCTGCCCAGGGAGTTTACCAGGAGCCCAGCAGATCCAAGCCAAGGTAAAACCTTGTGCAGAGATTGGGGTCTTTTTAGGACAGCGGTTGGGGATGTACATTCTGGTTAAACCTGGCCAAAGTGGATGGTAATATTCACTTTAACCACAGTTAAGGGTGTTTGGAGAGATTGATAAAACAGCATTCAAGCCTATGGCTTGGTCATATCTTGAGCTCATATGGTATAATGCATTGGGAGGCTGGGGCTCAAATCCCGACTCTGCCATGCAAAACCGGGTTAAGTCACATTTCCCTGCGTGGTCAGCTGTGAATACGCACTAATGGTATTACTTCTGCGCATGCGCAGTACAGCTCCAGAATCTTCTGTCAAATTCAAAAGGTCCCTTGTGTTTTGCCTCTAGCAGCTCACGTGGCAAAGGCGGCAGCCCCCATAGCCTTTGGCCAGCCACCGGAGTGCGACTTGGATTACATGTTGGCTCTCAGCTTGCAGCAGGAGCACAGCTCCCATGTGCACAGCGCTGCCACTGCGGTCCAAAGTGATCTCTGGGCGAATATCTGTCCCAGCAAAACCAGAGCCGTGGAGAGCCTCGTCGAGGAGCCCAATCCCTTCCCTCAGGAGGCACAGGAACCGGAGCAGCCCAAAAGTAAGTGGCTTGGGTTGTTGTAGGTTTTTTGGGCTATATGGCCATGTTCTAGAAGCATTCTCTCCTGACCTTTCACCTGCATCTATGGCAAGCATCCTCAGAGTTTGTGGGGATGCTTGCCATAGATGCAGGCAAAACGTCAGGAGAGAATGCTTCTAGAACATGGCCATATAGCCCAAAAAAACTACAACAACTCAGTGATTCTGGCCATGAAAGCCTTCGACAATACAGTAAGTGGCTTTTTGGTGCTCTTTATCTTGGAAATGCTTGGTCATTAACTAGCTGGCTGCAGCATCGCTGTGTCTCTCTTTGCCTTGCAGCTGAGGCCCTCCTGCCGTGCGAATTCTGCGAGGAACTGTACCCAGAAGAAGTGCTCATTCTGCATCAGGTTGGGCCTATTGCCATGTGTTCCTTCCAGGCTGTTAGAAGGGGAAAACTGGCAACCTTGAGGACTGAGGGCGCCTGTAGCCCTCTTTTAGGATGGCAGAGTTGAAGTGTGCTGAAGGCAAGGCTTGGGAAGCCAATGTCCGCTTTAAAAGGCACCTGTCAACCCATGGATTTCATAGGGTTTTCTAGGCCAGACATATTCAGCACCTGGTATTTCTTGATGATCCCCCTTTCAAGAATTAGCCAGGACTGGCCTGGTTTAGCTTTCCAGGTCAGACAGATCTGGTGCCTTTAGGGATGTTAGGCATATCATTGAAAATAAAACAATTCACCAGAACATTTGGGTTGGGTTGCCTTGAGCTTTGAGGCAGAACAGGCGGGGAAGGCATTTTCCTAAGCCAGAGCTGGGCAAAGTGTGACCTTCGAGAGGTTGCTGGACTGGACTTTGCCTCAGTGTTGTTCTAAACAAACAATGCCAAACTGAACGAGCCCTGGGAAAAATCAAGACTCGGTCTCGTCTCAGCTTCACATGATGCTGTTTGCTGGTGTTGATGTGATCTAAAAAGTGGGGAGGGCTGTAACTGAAAGGCTTCCTTCTGGCTGTCAGAGCCTTACGTAGTAGAAGGAATGAATGACCCTTTTCTCTCCCCCCTCCACCCCAAATGCAGACAGGATGCAGTCCCACCAGTGCATTGGCCTCCTACAGCAAGGGGGGTTCTTTTACCCCCCAATCGGATCGCCTTCACGACCTGTGGGAACAGCTGCAGAGCAACCAGGCCATGGGCAGCGGAGAGAGGCCCACCTTCCTGCAGGACAGCCTCCTAATTCCTTGCGAATTCTGTGGCGCTCAGCTGGAAGAAGAAATCCTCTTCCACCACCAGGTAGGGAGAGCGGGAGGGAGGGAGGGCTGCCTTGGGCTGGTCAGGGGCCTCTTCTCATCTGATCCCAGCACCTTCAAATGGCTGAACTCTCTCTCTCTCTCTCTCTCTCTCTCTCTCTCTCTCTCTCTCTCTGTCTCTCTCTCTCTAACAGGACCAGTGTGACCTGCGCCCTGCCACTGCCTCCTCAATGAGACGGATGCCGGCCCTGCAAGGGAGCCCAGCCAGGGAGAATAGGGAGGAAAGCGAGTCACCGGAGCTGCCCCGGAGACGTGTCCATAACCAAGGTAGGGTCAAGAGACAGACTGGCTTTCAGCCTGAGAAGTTTTTTTTCATGTCAGGAGTGACTTGAGAAACTGCAGGTTGCTTCTGATGTGAGGCAGTTAGCCGTTTGCAAGGACGTTGCCCAGGGGAAGCCCAGATGTTTGATGTTTTACCATCCTTGTAGGAGGCTTCTCTTGTGTCCCTGCATGGAAGCTGGAGCTGACAGAGGGAGCTCAACCTGCACTCCCTGGATTCAAACCACTGACCTTTCAGTCAGCACTCCTGCCAGCACAAGGGTTTAACCCATTGTGCCATCAGGGAGGTGGGAGGAGATGTTCACAGCCATTCTGTGGCTGGAGCCCAGTGAAGATTAAATGGAATCGTTTGGTAATGGGAGGCTTGTCTGGCTGTGGCCCTTTTGCCAGGTGCAAAACGATGACATCATCCACTGAGGGTTCTGGGGGTCCTCTGGAAGGGTCATCATTCTGTTCCCTGTTTCCCAGTTCTCCCAGACCTTCTCCAGCAGTCGCAGAATGGCATTGTTGCAGGAGAAGGTTCTCATTGTGGAGAATGAAAGGGAATACCAAACTCTCAACAGGCAGGCAGAATGCATTTGCCATTAAGAGGATGCCCGTCATGATCATAGGTGGAGCTCAAGAAGCTTGGCCCTTGGTCCTGCTGGCTGGGGATTGTGGGAGGTGTAATCTCCAAAGGTCACTTTTCCAGGCTCTCAGCAAATTTGTTTGGTGGTGTTGACCTGTTTCCTTTCTGTGCCCTGTAGCTCCTGACTCCCTCTTTCCACCTCCTTCAGGGGCAATTCTGCCTCCGTGCTTTGAGGAGTTCCGGCCCCACAAGCGCCCCCAGCCGTACCAAGGGGGCCCCTCCCGAAACAACTTGGTGACTGCCCGGCGCATGCAGCTGGCCTCCCATGAGAGCTGTTATGGGAATCCTTTTGGGCCCCCTTTGGGAGAAAAGCCCCGGGGGAGTGAGCCAAGTGCAAGCTGGTGCCCAAGCGAGCCTCCAGCTGCTCTCCTGCCCACCTGCTCTCCCCTCCACTTCTCGCTCAGCAACTACAAGTCAAGCTTTCGTGAGACTGCTCCAACCCGGACCAGGTGAGGCTTTCCAGGTCACCTCACATTTTCCTGGGTTCTGGCTGGTGGCGGATTCAGTTTCTGCCGGAGGGAAGGTGGGCCCCCTTCCCATGCGGGATACAGTCCTAAGCCCTGCGCTATTCGGGCGCACTTTCTCCACGCCTGTTTTAATTTGGAAAAGAGGTTTCACGTTCCAGCTTGCTCAGTGTTTTTTTTTTGTCCCCCCACCCTCACTGCCTTTTCCAACAGCCTGAGAAACGAAGGTGGCAGGAGCCCCACTAGGCCTACCGATTACGAGCCCGAGGTATGTGGCCCGTTGCCCCCCAAAGACAGTCCTTTCCTGAGATAATAGGTATTTGTTGCCAAGAGAAGCTGGATTCCTCATTGTACAAACGCATGGTCCCCATAATGAGACCCTTGTTCCTCCCGGGGTGTCTGTGGCCACATCAAGGATCCCTCCCTTTCTCTTTTGCCTCCTATCAAGAGGAGATAAATTTCAATGCAGTGTTTGAGGTCTGTCCCTAGTGGGCTGCCTCTCTGTTGTATTCAGCTGGAGCTGGTCTTCAAGAGACCCCGGGTTCCAAGACTTCCCTTTGCATGCTGCTCTAAAGGGGCTAGCTCTTCCTTGAGGCAGGCTTGCTCTCTCCCTGCTCCTCCCCACAAGGTGCCCGTAACCCACCTTCTCACCCTGCCCTGCTTGATGCCCCCGGCCCTACTCTCTCTTCTCCACAGGAAGACCCCTGGGCTGCTGAGGCCAAGGCTGAAGAGGAGGAGGAGGAGGAGGAGGAGGAGGAGGAGGAGGAGGACTGTCTGGAGGATGAGTAAGCAGCAGAGAAGCTGCCTGGTGGTCTTTTCTGCGTTTTGCCCAGCGCCAGGCCCTGAACAGCGCTGGTGGGCGCAATGTTTCCTTTCCTGGGGGGTGGGGGGTGGGAGGCAGGAGGCATGTTGTGCCACCTCCACAAGACATGGTGGCCCCGGGGTCCTTTGGCACCTTCTTTTCTGAATGTCTAGGGCCTCCGGGGCAAGTTTGTGTGTAGGGGTGAAGCAACCTTTTTGCCCTGCTTAACCGATCTCGGGGATGTTATGCTTTCTTCTCCCGGAGTTGGGTCCCCACGAGCCATCTCCTCTGTCCTCCGGGAAATCCAGCCATGTTTGATTCCCAAAGGTTGCCCCCACTTTGGTGGGGGCCCAGTCTCTTTCTTCTCTTTTCAGCCCTCTCGTTTTGTCTTTGTTCTTCAGTGTGTTTGCGGCCACAGAGGCAGCGGGGAGGGGACTGTTGGGCAGGTGCCATCCCCTTTTGTGGCACTTCTGCGTGCAAATGCCATGGTCTGCAATACCCAAAGTGCCCAGTTTTAGATACCTTCGAGGCCGAGAGGCTTCGTGGTGCAGGACCAAGGAAGCCGCTGTTCTTTTTCACCTCACTATTTGTTCTGTTCTGAAGATTATTTTCAATTTCTCCTAATAAACTTGGTTTCTGTCTGTTTGTTTTTGTGTCTCTGCGGCGAAGCGTGGTATTTGTAATGTTAGCCCCCCCCCCCACCCCGCCCCGCCCCGACAGACACACAACACTCAGATTCTGCCTGACCTGTAGTGTGGCTTGAGGATGGACTAAGGGCCTGGGAGAGAGGGTTTCAGTCCCTCCTCATTCATTAAAACCGATGGGGGAGGCGCTTGGACAAGGCACACTTGGACAAGGCACACTTGGACAAGGCAAACCCCCTCAGAGCAAATCTTGCCCTCCCAAAAACAATACAATAGGTTTGCCTTCAGTTCACCGTAAGTCAGGATTTGAAAGGATGCAGTCACCAATTCAGTTCAAAAGATGGCAGGAATGTTCTGGCTGTTAAGGCTCCTCACAGTGTGGATCTTTAAATTGAGATGACAGAGGATCTTGACCATTAGGATGTGACTCCCAAAGCCTTCTTCCACTTTTCACTCTCCTTCAACCTGCAAATCAGCTCACTGACCAAATACGTCCTTGAGAGGAATAACTCCAGTACAGTAAGTATACTAGACACTGAGGCCCCTTCTACACTATTATATAAAATCCAGATAATCTGCTTTGAACTGGATTATATGGCAGCATAGACTCATATAATCCAGTTCAAAGCAGATAATCTGGATTTGATAACTCGGATTCTATGGCAGTGTAGAAGGGGCTTGAGAGTTCAAAGCAAAAGACGCTAACAAGGAAACACTGCCAATTTCACAGGAGCTCAAAGTCCCAGTACCAGAATGTCCTGATAATGCTGAGGTTTGGCCCTGTGGAAGCAACTGCTTCTAATGCAAAGAGTTTTTAGGCCTGATACTCAAAAGGGATGGCCTATTTGTCAACATTTGACCTCACCATTTGGTTGGGTTTGCTTCCTCCAGACACAAAAGCAGTACGGGCATTAAATTCCTGGCGTGAACAAAAGAGGTAGGTGGGTCTGCACCAATTCAGAAATGTGGATTTGTTATCCCTCTGCCTGCTTCCAAGAGCAGGGCTCTGCAACTTCCCAGCTTCGGCCATTGAGGCCACAAACAAAGCTGCGTTCAGGACACGTCCACCAAAAGTAAGCATTTATTAAATACAAGAAAAGCCAAAGAGTTCTTAAAAACAAGTGGCAACCAACCTTGCAGTGTTAATTCCAAGGGCAAAGCACTATGGTGGGTTTACAGAAGGAAGCTAAGGGGAGGCTTTTTCTGTTGTTTGGGTTATTTTCCTTCCATTTTGTTATATAATTGAGACAGGATCACTGTTCTACGGGGAAAGATGTGGTCAAATTGAGGTGAGAGAAGTAAAGAATAAATTAACAAAAATTATGGCATACGTCACACGCTTTTTGTCAGCTTGGCGGGGGGTCTGCCTCGGCAGGAGACCCTTTGGAGTCCCTCTCCCCCTCCCTCGGGGAAGGGCCGCCTTTGGCTCGCTTTTCCCTTTTGTACAAAATATTTACACATTTGCGGTAAGTAAATACAAATGAAAAAGTACAGTGCATTCAACGTATCCCCAAGTGAGCCGGACAGCAGGCAGCTGGTTGGCTGATCCTTGCCCCAAGCAGTGTTTTGCGCAGCTTGGAGGAGACTAGCCTGGCTCTGCTCCCGGGCCAAGTGCGAAGGGCCCCACAGCCAAGGAAGGAGGCCTCCCTTCTGCCTGGATGTTTGACGCCAGACCAAGAGCACTTTGAAACAGGTGAACAGCGTAATAAATACCCCAAGAGATGCCCAACCCAAGCGTAAACCCCAAGAGACTTCTGTGTCCAGGTTCTTTGCCATTTTGGAAGGACAGCTTTACATTCGGAATGAATATTCAAGTGAAAAGAAAGATGATTTGCAACCCCAGTGTATCTAGCAAGAGGTGCTCAGTTTGCTGGCTTTCAGGCAGCATTAGAAAGACATGATTTCCCCAACTGTGCCATTCCAGTCCCCACTTAACCACCTCCTTCGGCCCGGCCTGTTCTTCCCAAAGGAGCCCACCACACAATCCGGGCACAAGAGGTTTCCCTTTTGTGTCGATCCTGGGTGGGGTGGGGGGCCAACCAGGAAGAACACCATCCTCGCCTTCAATGCAACCATATATAATGAGCATAAATATACATCAAGTCACTGGACAGCACATACGCTTTGGGGAGGAGTGGGGAGCAGCAGGGGCAGCGGCCACAGCGTTGGTGTCTTCTTCAGGGACACACAGCTGGCGACGTGGCAACCAAAAGGCCTGTGAGGTATTTGAAAGCAGGAGAAGTCCCCTCCGGAAGAAACAAACCGGGCAATTCTTAGGCAATTCTGGGTTTCTCTCAGGCGCCTGGAAATGCACCATACAAGGTTTGTCTGTCTTGAACTCAAAAGTCTTTCATCGGGGCAAGACACGGGGGTTGAAAATGCTGCCTAGGGAGGTGCAAGTTTCCCTTCTTTTCTGTCCATGGAAGTTGGGTCTGTTCCACACTAGAAGCTAACGCTACAAAGTCACTCGCTTTCCTTGCAGTCTCACTCGCCCCTCACAAGCTCCAGCCACACCTCATGCGACCCAAATCATTCCCCGTATTCACAGTAATGTACACTAGATACAGCTCTCCCGCTTGCCCCCCACCTCCAGTCCCCGCCTGGGGTTACAGCTCGGAAAGGTGCGCGAGGTTGTCAGGGGGCAGAAAACAGGAAAACCAAGCTCAGAACTAAGAGCTGGCACTTAAACTCATGGATAGCACCAAGCCAAGCTGAGGCCCTTCCGGGAGACGGCTCGCAGGGCAACCCTGAACCCCAGAAACCGTCACTGCGTTAGTCAAGGGGGAAATGTGCGTGCTTGACGTGTCTCTCCGACATGAGAGGGGGCAGCTTTCCTCCTCCCCTCCCAAAACCCCATCGGAACCAAAGGAAGGCCACCCAAGAGACAGGCCAAAGGGACCCTCTACCAAGGAAGAAGGAAAAAACCCGAATCCAACAGTTTGTGTCTTCTCCCCACTCCTTTCTGGATGCCAACCTTGTCACAATCTCCAAGTGGTCATTTCTGAGTCCAAAAAAAAAAGGGGGGGGGGTACCACACTCCCACTGGCACATTTGTTTGCAAAAGGCCAAGTGACCGACTTGTTTGATTTTAGGCAAATGACTGCATGTGTTTTGAAGAATGATTTGTGTGTACCAAACGTGTGAAAATGAATGGGCGGGTTCCTTGTCACCCAAGCTGTACATGTGAAAAGTTGTGAAGTTATCCCACAACCCTGCATAGAAAGGGATTTGCCCCAGGGAGGATTCCTTTGCGGGGACAGGCAGAAACAGCCAGAGCCAATTCTTGTGGCCTCGTGGTTTTTTTTTTGCACTCAGAAATGAAGGCCTCGTCGTTTCCTTACTGTGCAACAATGAGTGCTCACCAAATGTTGAAAGAAACGTAAGGATCTCAAGGTTTGTGAACATCAGTCTGTGTACTAAACTCATCCTACAAAGATTTCACAAACAAGGCAGCAAAGACAACCCATCCACCACAAAAGTCCACAAATATGACGCAGGAGGTCTTCCGGCAAAGGAAGCAAAGGGTTGGAGGGACGAAGGAGGCGTCTTGGGCGCTGGCCTCAGGCCCACCCCAAGGCATTCCCTGTGGTTCGTCGGTCAGTCGGTCTGTCAGGGGCTGCTTCGCAGGAGGGCTGCCCCCAAGGGGTCCCTTGCAGTGTCTTGCGGGATGGCGGCTCAGCCGCTGAGGGGATCCTCCCGATAGTGGATGGCGTACCGGAGCTTCTCCAGCATGATGTCGAGGGAGGTGTACTGGGGGAGTTTGATCATGAACATGCAGGTCTCCACGCGGATGTAGCGGGAGTCGGGCGACCCTGGGGAGGAGTACAGGAAGGCAGGCACTCTGAATCAGCTCAGTCAGAAACAGAGGCTTACTGGGCCTCAGGGTCTTTGAGGCAGCCCTTCATCCTGCCTCCCCAACCTCTCCGCCGTCCGGTTTTGAAAAGGATCCCAGCCATAGCCCCCTCTCAAGTGGCCCACCCCATTCTCCCCAATCCTCCCCGCCCACTCTTCCAAGGCCGCTCTACCTGCGGTGCCATCTGGAGGCGCGATCTTCATGGGGTATGGCGGGACGTGGGCGGTGTCCGGTCCTCCGTCCTTGCAGGGGCAGGTGAAGGGGATGCGCTCCTGGTTGCAGGCAAACTTGATGAACTTGCAGAGCTCCTCCTGGGTGAACATCTCCAGAGCCCCCCAGAAGAACTCAATGTGCTGATCAGTCTCCATCAGCCCCACTTGGTACATGGTATGGGCCTATGTGCAGCAGGAGAGATAAAAATAATGCAGAAGGTGTCCAGGTAGATCATGAAGGGTGCACGTGTTCTTAAGCCCAGCAACTACACCATAAGTGGAGGGGAAGAGGAACTGTGTCCCTCCAGATATTTTGGGGCTACAACTTATTTATTTATGACATTTATATCCCATCCTTCTCACCCTGAAGGGGGCTCAGAGCGGTTTACAAGATACATATTATATTATTAGCATAGCACATTAGTATTCTATATTATTATATTGTACTATACCACTATACTGCAATATTAGTAATATTGCATGTAATATACAATATATAATTATATAATTATATTGCATTACAATATCATGATCAATATTATATGTACATACAATATATTATATTATTAACATAGAACAATATTAGTACTATATATTACTATATTGTACTATACTGCAATATTAGTAATATTACATGTAATATATAATACACAATTATTATATTGTAATTATTTGTTTTATATTGTATTAAATTGTATTAAATTATAATATTATTAGCATAGCAAAATATTAGTATTATATATTGTTGCTTGGGGGAGGGGCTCCCAATTGATGAGCCTTGTAACCATTATGCACAATGCAGTCCAAAGCCATCTAAGAAGACCACAGTTCCCCAGCCATTTTCTGTACTTCAAGCCACACAGACCTTCCTTTTACTTTTGGGTGGGGTTACCTCCTCTGCTACTGTAAATTGTATTGTTCATCCATCCCTGCCTCAGTGTTCATTGCTAAACACTGTCCTGTGGAAGAGAGAGAGCGGCTGCCTGTGCTTCCAGGGCATCAGACAAGGAACTCTCATCCTTACTGGTTTCAAGGTGGGTTGAGACCCCAGTGGCACAGCATGGAAAGTGCCAGGATTACCTTGAGAAACTCCAGGTTGATGAAGGGGAGCCCACAGGTCCGCAGCTCCATCTCCAAGGGAGTCAGCATGGTCAGGAGCTGCAGAGGGATGATGGAGCCCAGGCCGGCCCGCACAGCCATTGCGCACTCTGGTGTCTGAAGCTCTCGCAGCCTCAGGTTCCGGATAGCGCTGGCATAGACATCCTTGTTCTCCCACCTGAAGGGAAAGAACCAAAGAGGCCTTCAGGGACCCCAGAGGAGCTCTTCGCTTCAGTTTGGGAGATCCAACATTGCTTCAGTGTGGTGGAAGGGTCCATGATGCCACCCCAAATGCATCAATGGTCAATGCCTGTGGCTGAGCATTGTTTACCCATTGTGTGTAATGCCCAAAGGTCCAGTGCGGCTACTTACACGACCGGGATGTGCCTGCCCCGGGCACACAGCTCCACCTCTTCGCCTGTCATGGTCAGGTAGGTGAACTTGCAGCTGGGCTTGTTGGGGCAGTCGGGGCTTTCCATGGCCAGATGCTGGGAAGCGATTTCCGCACACAGCGCCTCCAGCTCTGCCTCGTCGTTGAGCTAGGGCAACATCAGAATGCTATGACTTCCACCAGCTTGGGCTTGGCGAGCCCTTCCCAGGCAACTGCTGCGTGCATGAGGCTTCTGAGGCTTCATAATGTATGGATTCAGCAATGGGCTGCTTACTCTCAACATAGTGGTTCTGAACCTGTTTTGACCTTCAGCTCCAAGAAATCCTAACAACTGGTAACATGGCTGGGATTTCTAGGAGTTGTAGGCCAAAACACCTGGGGACCCACAGGTTGAGAGCCACCGTTAACCTCATGATTAAGTCTGCCTTGGTTTCTTTTGGATGCCCCCAAAGCAGGGCTTGGATGGAGAAGACCTCACTTGCGGAGCCCTCCAGCAAACCGTGGGGCCCACAAGCAAAACAGCAAGAGGGCAGGCGGACTTACATTTTCAAATTTCTTGACATAGTTGTAGGTCAGGACATCTGCCTCCTGAAGGTCGAGGTCTGGGTCCAGGGCTTCTCCGACCAAGGTCTTCCAAAAGGAGGGCAGGAGGTCCAGGGGTAGGGGGACATCTGCCCGGATGGCGATGCCCAGCAACTGCCCAAAGAAGTGCAGCAGCTGCTCCTCCCCATAACTGATGGGGCTGGGGGTCAGGATATACTTGCCCTGATGAAGAGGGGCAGTGTTAGGAAGATGGAATCTGTCCCAGGACTATTTGGATGTGAAATCTGTCCCTTGCAGCCTCCCAACCAAGCAATGCAGGGACCCAACGACCACAAGCAAGTGAATCCTGCGTCCCATAGGTGCCATGTGTTGGAACACAACCACATCCTGCACGCTTATAGCCCTCATCAAGGGAGCAGATAGGCAGATGAGTTAGCTGGCAGGGAAATCCTTTCCCTCACTACCCTCTGTCTGTCTCCTTCCCTCTCTCTTTCCTGTTTGTTAGACTGACACTTCTCAGCGACATGCCTCTTTGTATTCAAAGTCTCCAGAGAGAGAGAGATCGTAAGATAGCTAGGACCTCACTTTCCTATATAGAAATGTAGTTCTTGTTGAAATTCAACCCCATTGCCCAAATCTCAAGTCCTCAATGACAAGTTAGTTAGCAATAAAATAATCTGACAGTTTCCCTTCCCCTATGTCTCCTGTGTCTCTCCTCTCTTTTTCTGCTTTCTGATTGGTTGTTTGGAGTGGATATTTTTCTACTGCAAGCTTTTTGAATCTGATTTCTGCCTTCATACACTTCAGTATGGAGAGTATGTGCTCTGTGTGTTTGAGATCTCTCTCTGCTTGTGTATCAGGAGAGATGTAGTGATTGAGTTTTTCCCTCTCCTGAAACCTTACAGTAGTTCAGACCCAGTTCTTGATTATTAAGAAATGCAGTTATTTCTTATTGTAAATAAACCTTTTGTGATTTTTAAGATTGGACTTTGCATGTTTGCCTCCCAAGCTCTTTGCAGTCACATCACATGGCACTTCACGCTCTGCACGCTAATGAGCTGATGCTCAACTTTTGTATCCTGCTTGTTTTTGGATGCACTACTATATTTGGGTAGTTTTGCTCTAACAACAAGGGTTACGGGCCCAAACTAAGTGCTGAGTCTAAGTGCCCAGATTGTGTGTGTGCTGATAGAAAGACCTTGAAAGAAAAATAGAAAGGCTGAAAAGAGCATCTTTCAATAAAGTCTTTTGTAACTTTTAAGACCTGACTCTGCTCCTGTAACTGCTGAAGTTCACTCACTCAACTGCTAGGGCTCAAGATCTGCTGAAACTGCTGCCACTGTTGCTGCTCTATCATTATTATGATTATGATTGTTGTTGTTATTATTATTATTTTAAATGGTTTTCCATTTTGAAATGACCCAACACTATGTAGCTGAGGAGTTCATTGTTCCCACAAAGAAAGCATACCTTGTTCTTATTCACTGCTGAGCTGGGACAGAGCAAGAGGAGGGAGAGCAGAGAACTCTGAAGCTCCTTGCAGACCTGCCACAGGAAGTGCCGGAAGGAACCGCCTGGAAAACACATTGGGAGCTAGGGTGAGGAACGATGTGGGGGTCAGGAGCTTGGGCGTCTTGGTCTTTCTAGTACCACAGAGGAAAACAGAGGGGAATTCACACTTGACAGATGTTGGCCACCCTTTCCATCGACTGCCAACTGCCAAGGTGAGGGCTGTTCCTCGTAAGTGTTCAGGGACGTGGCAGGGAAGAAAGGGATGTTTGGTGGGTGGCCTTACTCGTGCCATGGACCTCCTCGCCTGTAAAACGGATGTTGAAGGCATAGGTGGGGTCACCGCCGCTGGCCAGCTTCACACACAGCTGCGAGGAAGGGACGCAGGCCAGCTGCCGGGCCGCCTGGCAGAAGTAGGAGTTCTCTGGAGACCGGATCTCTCCTGTTCGCCAGCAAGGAAAAGGAGGTCACCTTTGGAAAGCGCTGGGATCTTATGCCTCTGTGCCCGGTTGGGAACTAAGGCCCTTTGGGCAGATAGAACAAAACTGGGTCTGCCGTACCTCCCACGATTTCAAGAGGGTCCAGGGTGATCTCCGGGGCAGCGTGGTCGGCCGTCCTTTGCACGGTGGCATTCAGCACCCGGTTCATGACGGTCACTTTTGTGTCGTAAAAAATTAATCCTAAAGAGACAGAAAAGATTGCGGCAACCCTGTTTATTTACTTACTACATTTATATACCATTTTTCTCCCCCTAAGAGAACTCAAAGTGGCTTCCAGCATTATAAAGGCAACATTCAATGCTGTACATACATGTGAAAAACAAAAGGTACTAGCAAGACAATAACACATAACTATAAATTAACCTGACCAAATTAAAACATAAACATAAAAGAACATTTATACATAAAGCATTAAAAATTAAACATCAATCATATAATAACACTATCCGTCCCCTGCCATGCGTTGCTGTGGCCCACATGGGGGTTCTGTGTGGGAGGTTTGGCCCAATTCTATCGTTGGTGGGATTCAGAATGCTCTGTGATTGTAGGTGAACTATAAATCCCAGCAACCACAACTCCCGAATGTCAAGATTCTATTTTCCCCAAACTCTACCAGTGTTCACATTTGGGCATGTTGAGTATTTGTGTAGAGTTTGGTCCAGATCCATCATTGTTTGAGTCCACAGTGATCTCTGGATGTAGGTGAACTACAACTCCAAAACCAAAGGACACTGCCTACCAAACCCTTGCAGTATTTTCTGTTGGTCATGGGAGAACTGTGTGCCAAGTTTGGTTCAATTCCATCGTTGGTGGGGATTCAGAATGCTCTTTGATTGCAGGTGATCTATAAATCCCAGCAACTACAACTCCCAAATGACAAAATCAATTTTTTTGAGTGAAGGACATACATTGGGCCGTTAGGTGTCTTGTGTCCAAATTTGGTGTCAATTCGTCCAGTGGTTTTTGAGTTCTGTTAATCCCACAAACGAACATTACATTTTCATTTATATAGATTTATATTAAAACCCACCGATAAACAAGACAACTTAAAAGCGGTTATAAAAATGACGCCATCCAAAATCAAGTCCATAGTTGTTCTATTGTTCTGTTCACTATTCCTTATTATCCTATTGCACTACAAGCTTTGCTGTCTGAAAGCTTGGTTACATAACCACATTTATATTTTCTTCCTGAATGTCAGGAGGGACATTCTGTTCTTCTGTAAGAAACAGCCATTAAGTCAGACAGGTCAGAACAGTCTTCCTAGGCCAAGGGATTCTCTCCAGAAATGAAGATCAGGCTTGAACACTGTTGGTTCTGCACTGTTCCCTGTGACGAGGAGCCTTTGAGCAGAAAAAGGGAGCAAAGCAACCCTTCTTTTTCACCTCTCTCACTGGCTTCTTCCCAACTGGACTATGCCTAACTTTTCTTTTGTGCAACAAGCATCTTTTCCTTTGAGCCAATGCAAAGCCCTGACCTTTGGCTTCTTGCAGCAGTGCTGCAATGCTGTTGGTGTACATCTCCGTCTGCCGGAGTTCCACAAGTGGCAGGAAGAAGGTCTCCAGGGTGGTGTTGAGGGACTGGAGCAGAGCAAAACGCAGACGGAGGCTTTCAATAGGCACGTCTGCAATGGAACAGAGAGGGCAGAAACTGAGGAGTTGGAAGGTGAGATAGAGGGGGAATCTCAAATGACCCAGCCTCCTATAGTGGGGAAGAAGAGGAGGAGGAGGAGGAGGAGGAGGAGGAGGAGGAGGGAGACTGCGCCGCCTAAAGCTCAGTTCTTACTTAAGAGGCAGGAGACGCGCGGGTCGGCCGTGTCGGCCGGATCCAAGTACACTTCATGGGGGTGCAGCCGGGCCGGGGTGATGGCCAGGTGGCGGCAGAGGCGGTTGATGTACTGGACCAGGGCCACATCCATTTCCAACGACCACTTGCGGGAGGCTTTCTGAGCATGCCGGGCATCGATGCAGGCGCACCTGATGGAAGATAGGAGGTGAGGATCTGAAGAAGGGCGCCCTGGATGCACCACATTTCCTCAAAGGCTGTGCCTGGCTCAGTTCCTCTCTAGCCCTCCCTGCAGACATGCGTTGAACCAAAATAGCCATTCCTTACCTTTCAAAGTGAAGGTCATAGCCACAGGACAAAATGGCTCGCCACACGCTACGGATGTCTTGTTTTGCCCGATCAATGACAAATCGATGAAACCCATCCAGTGTCAGATATTTCTCCTCAGGAACTGAAATTGTTGTAAAAATTACAAAAGGAAACAGTTCACTGAAATGTATCAAAACAGGCTGGTTTCTACTCCTGGCCCCAGTGTGCCAAGCTTCTTCTCCATCCTTTCCAATATTCATCACCTACAGTTTAGCCTTGACTTTTTCAATGTAAATGTTATTCTCTGTACTATTACAGATTGTTACGCCAAATTCCACTCCCCCAAACAGTGTGGGCATGTTGACCTTCTACGCAGAGGGCCTGCCTTCCCTGGCTTGAAAAAGGCAAGGCTTACCCTCCTGTTTCTTGGTGGGAGACTTGTCTGGGTCCTTTTCATCAGGCTTGCACTTCTCGGGTGATTTTGGCTTCACTGTGGGCTTCTTCTCGCTCAGAGCCGTCCTGCTAATGTAGGAGAAAGATTTGGGTCAAGTCCAAGGTTTTCAGCCGGTGTGATATGTTCTCAATTTCCACAAACACTTACTGAAGAGTTGGGCTGACTCTTGTCAAAAGGAAAGGGGCTGAGCTCAAGCCACAGCTGAAGCCGTGGCCTCTGGCTTCCAATGTCATCCCCTATAACAGCGTTTCTCAATCTTGGGGGGGAGGGGTTGTGAGAAGGTTTCAGAGGGGTCACCAAATACCACCAGAAAACATATATTCCTGACTTTCTTAGGAACTCCTTTGGCAGAGAAGGCTGTAAGTCTCTCCGCCTGTCCTTCTCTTCCTTTTTGGAAACAGACGGCGAATTCTCCCATCAAAAGCCCTCCTCCACTGTGATTGGTGAGACTCTCAGCCAAGGGGAGAACTTTTTCTAAGACTCCAAGCGGGGAGGGGAGAGCAGGTGCTCTGCACTATATCACTGTCAATTCTTCTCAAATCCCTTCAGTATTTTCTCTTGGTCATGGGGGTTCTGTGTGGGAAGTTTGGCCCAATTCTATCGTTGGTGGGGTTCAAAGGGCAGTGTGGTGTGCATGTGCGGGCGAGGGAGAGCATGCGAGGCTGGAGGGAGGCTTGCGCTAGTGAGTCCCTTCAAGACATGGGGGTTTTGTGTGGGAAGTTTGGCCCAATTCTATCATTGGTGGGGTTCAGAATGCTCTTTGATTGTAGGTGAACTATAAATCCCAGCAACTACAACTCCCAAAAGACAAAACCAATCCCCCCAACCCCACCAATACTTAAATTTGGGTGTATTTGTGCCAAATTTGATCCAGTGAATGAAAATACATCCTGCATATCAGATATTTACATTATGATTCATAACAGTAGCAAAGTTACAGTTATGAAGTAGCAATGAAAATAATTTTATGATTGGGGGTCACCACAACATGAGGAACTGTATTAAGGGGTCACGACATTAAGAAGGTTGAGAACCACTGCCCTATAAAGAGGCCCATGCTCTCCCTTGGTAACAGTACCCACAATGCTCTTGGGAGGCAAATGTTCCTACCTGACGCTGTTGAGCACAGCCTTTTCCTTGGCCGGAGGCTTGGTGACGGGTCGCTTGGTGCTAACCACCTTCACCGGGTGTTGCTCCTTGCCTCCCTTGTTGTACTTGCTCTTGTCAAACTTTGGCTTAGGAGCCCCGTACTTTCTCAAGATCTTGAAAGCAGAGAAGGAAAGGAGTGTGAGGATGGGCACCCAAGGCAATAAGGCACTTGAACCAGGCTAGAGCCAAGAGCAGAAGAATCCAAATCCTGCCACACCAACCTGTTATGAATAACTTTTCAATAACTTTAAAGCATAGGTTCTTTTTATTGCAGTTTTCCAGTAAGGGTATCAGAACTTTTACAGAACAACATGTAGACACATAGACTTACAGATTCTATGAAACTACACTGAATTCACAAACAACCTAGAGTTACATTGGCTAACAAACAAACAAAGTGGGGTTACATTTTTACTCTGCATGCACCTTCATGTAAACATTCAGCCATCTTCATTCATACATCACCATTTCTCCCTTCTGTTGTCATCTGGAGAAGAACACCTCTTAGCCCAGACTGCTTCCTTGTAAATCTGCCAATGCATACTTCCATAACTCCTAAACTTCAAAATGCCAAAGCGCATCCCTTCTCTAAGCACAATTTGTTTTCCCTACAGCAAAAACTGACTCCCATGCACAAAATCCAAGACTCAAAATCGCACTCCTTCATCTTCCCTTGAGAAAAGGAGGCATGCACCATCTCTGTCCTTCCCATGGACCAGAGCACGGCGGGTGAGCCAAACTCCTGTGGTCTGCCACACTTTTTGAAATGTTGGACGATCTCTAATATAGCAATATTTCACTGATGTTGTCCCAAAGTTGCAAATTACTGACAGGTTGTTTTTTCTATCCTGAGACATGTTGATTCCATTTGTTTCCTGGCAGATGTTGACTCTTCTTGATTGGTGCTGATAAACACAGCCTTGTGTTGACTTCCTTCTTAACTTAAAAGAGCCATTGCCTCTGACTGATAGAAACACGTTGTTTTCCCCCAAAGATCCAAGAGTTAATTATTGCCACAGTTCTTATCATGGTTTACTATGGCAGGCCCCATTTCAGTTCTCATTAGCAGGTTTTAATTACAGTCCAGAAAGCAGGTAGTAGTTAGTCACTGCATGCCTTAATCTTTTAGAATGGTGTCTTCAAAATTATTAACTCTCATTCATTCATTCCTTTCATACAATTCCATTCAAACTGTGGAGCAGAACAGACAACCCCATGTCTGTATGCTTGTCCGCAATGCCCTGCCTCATGTACAGAGGATTAATGGTTTGAGGCTACAGACAATGTGGTAGCTGTTGCCCGTTTTGGTCAAAAGATATTTAGCCGCTTGTGCTCCTTCTATTTTTATCAGTTTTATACTAATTTATGCAATGCTTTTGATATAAAGTAAATAAATAAATAATTCAAACTATGTATCATATTTTATCATGACATTTATCAAATCTGCACATTATATTTCTTGTGACAAACCTGGGTGAGCTGGTCCTCCAGAACCTTCTTTGGGGGGCGGACGTTGGTAAAGAAGGTGTGCAGCAGGTTCCCGGGGGTCTGGGCATTGATCTGCTCTTTGCTCAGGTAGATCTCAGCCACTTTGGTCGGCTTGGCTGGTGTCAGGCTCAGCATTTGTTCCGAATGGAGGCAGCTTTTGAAGATTTCCGTCAGGACGTCTCGAGCACCCGGCACCAGCTTGTCACCTGAAGTGAGTCAAAAAGGTGAACCAGGACTACAAAAAATAGCAGCTCAAAAGAATTCAGGTTTATTAAACATGGCAAACAATTTTTACCATGTACTTAAGGTTGAAACAGTGTCTGAAAGCTGGCATGAACAGTTCTGTGTCCAAACATTGAAGCAGGGGTGTATTATGGAGGGTATTTGGCTCTAACAATTCTCGATGTAAGACCTCAAGGAGGGTGCTGAAGTCGGCTTACATCTCACCACAGCAATGAAATGCATATATACAACATGCACACTCCTTGCTCAATGTGAATGAACCCACCCACCTTTTAAGGTTTTGTCATTGAAGTAATCTTCCAGAGCAGGGCTCCCTTGGGTGTCAAACAAGCTCTGGTTCACTGTGGAGACAGTTAAAATTTCCTCGGTGGACATTTCCATGAGTTCGTCTTCCCCGTCCAGGCTGGAAAGGCCAATCAGGTCACTGCTGTTAAAGAGGCTGGCTCGGATCTTCTCAATCTTGGCCCGGGACCGAATCTGCATCAAAAACACAAGAGAGTCCCTATCATTCCTCATCTTTTGCTCCCGAGGCTTTGCATTTCTCACCTGGCCACTCTGTCACTTTCCCAGTCCCATGTCCACTTGCTTTGCCTCATCCAAACCCCAATTTGGAACCATCAAGAACCTTGAATATCATGCAAAGGCAACTAAACTGCTGAATCCTTACAGTGATTTTCAAGCTACATACTGAAAGAAGAGGATTGTTTCTTTCCTTTGACCTTTGAGGAGGCTTGCTGTGTAAATCTGCTACATGAAAATACATGTAAGAAACTTCAGGGACTTAAAACAAAGCTAACTGGAGCTTCTTTTGCAAGACAGGTCCGCCATCCATCAGATACAGGTGACAAACCAAGGCTCCTTCCTTATCAAAGGAGTTCAAGAGGCAACCCATCTATCTTTGAAAAGGTGCCACAAAAGCCTTTGGTCTCTCATGGGAGAAAGATGTATTCCACAAAACCCCAAGTTTGGTTCGTATAATCGCCCTTTCAAACAGGGCAATGGAGAACACTGTGTGTGGACTAACAGGTGTTCTGTTCCAGGGGCCCAGGGAAGCCTTACCTCCACAACTGCAAAGCCCTTGATGGGTCGTGAGGGGGCTGGCTGGCTGTCCAGCGAGGTCACGGTGTACATGGAGCCCACGTCCGACATGGAGGCCGTCTCCACGTTATCCAGCTGCTCCCCAAAGCTGCCTAGGCTGCTGCCGATGGAGAGGTCCAGGCTCTCCTGGCTGGAAACCCCATGTGGGGTGCCGTCCAGCAACCCGGGTGGGATGGCCATCTCCAAGCCCCCTTGCAGGGCCTGGTCCACTGAGATGTCGCTGGTGGTGCGAGAAATGCCCTGCGAGCTGGAGATGGAGGCTTGGCTGGTGGAGGCTGAGGCGCTGACGCTCATGGCGGGGGTAACGCTGCTGGAGCTGCTGATGTCCAGGCTGTCCACGCTGCCAGAGACCGCTGGTTTGTCCAGTTCAGCCCGGCTCTCCCCTCCCTCTGCCTTGTCCTTGCTCTTCTTGGGCTCCTCCTCTTGCACCGGGATGTAAATCTCCTCCTTGAAGACACCCCCGTGGGCATTGCAGGCCTTGCGGATGGCGCCCCGCACCACCCCTTCCTCCAGGTGGGTGGGGATGCCCGAAATCACCAGTAAGCGGCTGTGAGCTGTAGTCCCGACCAAGGCCTGGCAGGCATCTGCCACTGCGTCATTGGTCACACCCAGCCCCTGGGGGTCCTTCTTGGTCAAATGGCGCAAGATGATGAGCAAGGTCAGAGCCCGGTGGAACCACAGCATGTCCTCAGGTTTGCTCCCGCCAATGCTCAGCATGGCCGTGTCAGTATCAGCTGCTCGGGACGAGGTGCGCTTCCCCGAAGCCGAGGCCTTCTCCCGCTTCATCTTGACCTTCTTCCTCTTTGACAGGAGGCTTGGGCTTTGCGGGGTCTGCCCAGGAGAGGAGGAGGAGGAAGAGGAGGAGTCGCTGAGGTTGGGGCCGCTGGTCGAGGACATGACGTTGGCGGTGATGCTCATGTTGATTGGCAACGTTACTTCCGCAACAGCCAGGCAGACCTCCATCAGGGCATGGAAATAGGTGGAAAATCTGCCCTGGTCGGTGCCCCCAACACCGGATCCGCTGCAGGCATTTCCTGAGACCCAGTTCTGGGTCTCTTCGTCATACAGCTTGTGCAGCTCAGACTGGAGTGCCATAAGCATGGCCAGGCAGGGGTTGAGCTGCAGCGCAATGGACGAGGACAGACCGGCAGGGTTCTTCTTCTGCTCCAGGCTGTGAATTTTGCGGAGCAGTTCGGCCAAGAGGTGGAACAACAGCTCTTTCACACAGGCTGCCATGTTGGTTGTCCATAGAAAATTCCCTAGAATAAGGGGAGGGGGATGATAAGAATCAATTCCCTTTGAAATGTGCAGCTACTCAGCACTTGGTAGCCAGACTATGGCCCAGTCCTAGCCCTCCATTCCTAGCCCCTACCATTACGCAGGGAAAAATGGAGCCCAAACACAAAGCCCAACCAACAGAATTGTTCTGGGCCATGAAGGATCCCTTCTCTCACCGAGGATTTCCACCACTTGCAAAAGGATGGAGGCAGGGATAGTTTCCAGCTCCTCTTCGGCCCTTCCGTCCCCGTCATCCAACTTCCAGGCCAGCAGCTGCTCCGCAAAAGCCATGGCCAATGGGAACTCCAGCGGGAGCGAGTGCAGGACCAGCATGGCACCAGGAGGCGGGGACACTCCTGGGACGAGACCCACAGATACACTCAAGGCCCAATGTTTGGGACAATGAAGCAAGGCATGAAACAGTGTGCCCCCAGACCCTCTAAATATTGCTTGAACCCCACTCCCCACCAGAAAATGGTTTATCTAAACATTGATTTCAGGATGAAGAGGGCTCCTCAGCTTTGAAACTGAAGAGGAGTGCTTTCCATTCCAAGAATACATCTCTGATGGAGTGAGACCTGTTGGCTGCACGCTTGCATTTGCATGGGAATCTTACCCAGTTTGATGTGGACCTTATCGGTGGAGATGATGACCGAAGGATACTGATTGGTGGTGGGGGGCGGAGTCAGTCCTGTGTTGGTGGGAGAAGCATCCCGAGGGTAGCACACGGCCTCAATCAGGTTCAGCTGCCCGTTCCTCTTCACCTTGTGGCCGAGGCCATAGACAAGGATCCGGGCCCAAGGGGCTTTATACAGAGAAGAGCTGTGAAAAGAGTCAGAACTGTTGTTGGAGATTACACGATCGTTCTACAGAATGACCCTTTCCCAAGAATAAGAACAGTGTAAACATGTGGATGCAACGAGAGGGGATCCTTGGGTGGGCCAGTTTGGAAGTGCTCCTTGCCCTCAGTTCCCTTACGGTCACTTACTCTTTGCGGAATCCTGACTGACTCTCCTTGCAGGACACAATCACAAAGGCTGCCCCAGGGAAGTTGACGTCCATGTTTACTTTCGACTCAGAAATGGGGAACTCTTCGGATGGGAACTGTTCAGGAGCGTTCTGAAAACAGATTTTTAAACTCAGAAACTCTCACCTTTATCTCTTTGAACTGCCAGTGCAAAATCACTGAAATGTATGACAAACATTCAGCTAGCATCAGAATTGGTTGCTGAGGCATTCCACAGACATTGAGGCACTGTGTCACAAGAGCAACCTCCTGGTTTGATCCAATGCTCTGTGTGTGTGTGTCTTTTGTGTCTTGAAGGTGTTGACACTTATTTCAAGCCTAAGGTGGACCTATAATGGGGCTTTCTGTGTGAAATTTGTTCAGAGAAGGCTTGCCCTTGCTCTCCTCTGAGACGAGTGGGGGGGAGGGGCGGAATGTGAGTTTGGTCATCAAAGTCAAATGCCACTTTCTCGTGGGAGGGAAAGCTTGGATAGCTTGGAGGAGGCTTTACAACAACGGGGGCTTAATCTGCCATACAACTTGCCTGCAGGAAGGAGCAGATCTGTTTGGTCAGTTCCAGCAGACTCTCCTCGCCTTGGTGCAGAGTCCGCGCAATGGCCACTGTCAGCCACTCCTGGATGGTCTGGGAGTTGCCTTGGTAAAAGAGGTCGGTGCCTGAGCAATTCTGGGAATGGATGCAGTGCTGGAGGGACTGGGCCAGAAGGATGGAGCTGGAGCTAATGGTCCCATCTGGTCATTTCAGGAAGGGAAAAGGCAGAAGAGAATTCGTATCACTCCATTCTGAGTGGCTCCTCTTTTTTCCCCATTACACAACTGAGACAAGTGACTGCCCGATTCATTCTGAAGACCCAGCAGTGACTTACTCATCCCATCTAAAACACAACAACAAACTCGCAGAGCTTAAAAAAGAGACCTTTCTGGACTATAACTCCCAGAATCCCTCAATGGTTGGTGTATTCAGAGAGTGACTGTCCAAACCGTCACGCTTGAAAGCTCCCCCCACTATGGATGCAGTTATCCCTGTTACAAGGTTCAGTAGAGACCAGTTTCTAAAAGTGCTTTTTTACCAGGAAGAGGCGGGGCTAGAAGCTGATTGGAGAGCAACTGGAGATGTTCCAGAGTGATGTCCCGGATGGCAGGGATGTGGAACAGGCGTGTGAACATGTGAGGAGATCTGGGAGCAAAAATGTTAAGGAGGGCCATACGGCAGTACAGCCGAGCAAGGGCCGCTTCGCATCGCAGCAGCTCTCTGTCAAAAGCGAGAGAAAGAAATGTCACATTCAAGGCGTGGAAAAGGTAACATTCTTGACTTTCCTCTTAGCCCACTATTCCTCACTACCCAGTTTTCCTAAACTTCACATCCTCCAGAGCTGTTGGAGTGCCATTCCCATCGCTGTCCCTGCTAGTGGGGAGGATGAGAGGTGGAGTGGGCAGCAGATGGGCCAAGCAAGCAATTAACCAACATGACCTGTTCAAAATCTAACTCTTCTAGGCAAAGATTTACTACTATGAGATGGGGCCTTCAAGGCTGAATTGGGAGCCAAAAAGTATTCTGTCCCAAGGTCCCTATTGGTTGAGTCTCATCTTGCCTGTGAATCTGAATGTTTGAATTGTCCAGGGAAACCAGTCCATTGGTGGCTGTCCTCCTATAGCCAGCAGGGGGTCGCTCCAGCATATCAATGGGGTACCAGTATCGCACCAAGACCCCTTCGCTCCTGAGGTAAGTCTCCACCTGGACAAGCTCATTCACCTGGAATCCAAAAAGTGGTCATGGGTTAACTCCGGAGACTTCATGGCTGATGGCAGGCCAGGCTCCCACCCTCCCCCTTCAAGCTGAAATCCAGGGACAACTTGCCGAATCAACGTCCAGGACGACACCATGGAGTCCAAACGTCTTCAGCATCCCACGGATTGCAAACTTGGGCAGGGCGGTGCCCACCGTGTTGGCAACCACGTTGTTGCTATCTGGGCAGCGGGTGACAACGGTGAGACCTGGAGCCAAGAGAATGGTGGCCTTATCTGACCATGGACCAGGCACACAAGACGGCTGGGCCTCACCAAACCGAGTTCCCACTTCTGACCCAGAGTGGGTCAGCACTTATAGCTCTCCCCATCCAGGACACACAGCATTGGCTAGTCATAGTACATAGAAAATCTGGGACATACCCTTACTCTATCCAAAAAGACGCAAAGGTGTTGGTCGGAGGTCCAAGCCTCGCCGCAACCCCATTATCCCAAAGCAAAGCAAGAGGCGTACCTTTCCGGACTTTATCAATAGTGAACTTATTGGCTTCATCTTTAATATCTTCAATTGTGGGAAGGTACAGGTCTCTGGGAATGCCCCCGTTTTCCTCATAGAGAAATTCCACCGTTTGGCGGGCGATGTCGACCATGCCTGAAACCAAAGCAGCCAAGAATGAGGCCGGAAGACAAATGCGAAGAGTCCAGGAAATTGGGTGGGATGACTATTCAGAACAGATTGCTACAGGCTAGGATTGCTGGTTGGCTTATGTGAACTGTCACAAACATGCAGAAAAACTAAGAAACTAGGATGAAAGACAGATTCCTCAGTTTAACCATAAAGAAGGTAAGCATCAGACACCAAGGAAGAAGCCTTTTGACAGGCGTCATACCTAGCTGTAAGGCCCCTTTAATCTGATCCAAGCCAGACTTCCTCTCGGCTTCGTTGCGGAAGCGTCTCCGAATGGTAGGGAAGACTTTGGTCTCCCAGGCTTTCACAAGCAAGGCATAGTGATCTTCCTGCAAAAAGGAGAGAAACACCTTTATGTCTGAACAAAAGCCTAGATTGTACTGCACAACGCAATGCAAAGCGGCATCCTGTGTAGTTCTCCATTTTGTATGCATAAGTAATTGATCCGGAAGTCATGTACATCTTGACGTGCCAGGTCATGCATACACTTACCCGTGGAATGTCATCGTCATCGTCATCGTCGCTTTCGTCATCTGCAATGGGAGGAGGGTGAGGGTCTGGTCCCGAGGTGATGAAGTTTTCATAGCTGAGTTCCATCTTATAATGGCAAGAGGTGTCACTATCGTACTCTGCAACAAAAGGGACAGAAAGGTGACTGTGGGAAGACCTCTTGTAGCACTTCAGGAAGATAAGGTGGTGATAAACCTATGGAATTGTGTGTGAGAATTGCCGGCATCCTCACACAGAATTACAGCTCTACAATCCCTTGAGAACATGGGTAGCCATGAGAGTTAAGTCAACCCACTGCTGCAATGCTGAAGCAGCCTGTATTTCAAACCCACATTAACTAAAGTGGAATATCCTTCCTCTGAAGAGTGATGAAGGAAGACAAAGGGAGGTTTTTACATTCTTGACAAATTAAGAATGTTACAAAAATGGTACTAATGGAATAGCAATGGCATGTCATTGCCTCCAGGGTTCCAAACATGGGACCCTCCACTGACTAGCATTTAGCTCCTTTGAGTCTCCTTTGGCAGAGAAAAAGTGAAGTATAAATACTACTACTACTTACTTACTTACTACTATTACTAATTTATTGCGTTGTTACTTTTGCCTGTCTTTAACTTTGGGGCACAGGTAGGAAAGGGCTTGAACATTATCCAGGAAAGGCCTTACGTTGCTGAGCAGTGGCCACAGCCGCAATCCTGCAAGGCGGCCCATGCGTCCCAGGGTCAGAGGCTGTGCTGGTGCCAGCATCGTTGTCACTGTCGGAAGCCATGGCAAAAGGCAACACTTCGAAGTTGGCACTGATTTCTTCAGCAAGGTCGACACAGAGGTCGGCGGCATTGCGGTGCGCCTGGCCTTCCGCATAAGCAAACTGGCGGGAACCAAAATTGGCCCGGACCTTGGTGTTCTGGGAGTGGGAAGAGACACAACAGAAGCGGGAGGTCACATTTTGGGCCCGATGCTACAGTTCCCTATGATGCGTAAGGAGGGATGTGCTCAATTTTGTGTGCTAAATACTAAATTTTAGTCTAGTTCCGTGCAACATAAATAATATGATGCCCTCCACGATGCTGTCGTTATTGTTGAAGTGGAAATTCACACCCATGTTTGTTTTATACTCTTAAGGCCTAGGATCAAAAACAGGATTCGGTGTGATGTGTGGTTTAAATGAAATTCTATGAAAGGTGCATGACTGGGGCCTATATAGCCTGAGGATGTCATGCTAAGAAACGAGGTCTGAAAAACTACAGAAGGAGGTGAAGAATATATGATCTGTAATTAAAAGTTGCTGATGAGAACTGTTGACATTGATAACCAGAGAGCATGATTAACTCTTGGTGGAAAACAACACGTTTACATTACCAGAGACAATGGCTCTTTTAAGTTAGGTAAGTCAAACAATGCTCTTTAAGAAGGAAAACCAATTATCAGTTAAGGAAGAAAAGCTAACATCTGTCTGGAGCTGATGGGGTCAGCAAGTCTTAGCTGGAAAAACAACTTGTCAATCATTTGCAACTTCTTGACTAACAATAGCAGAAACTGCTGTATAAGACATTTTTACAATCCAAAAATGTGACAGACATGAAGGGTCTGGTCACCCATCACTTTCTCCAAGGGACGGAGGAAGATGGTGTATTCACAGAATGGCAGATTTGCAGGGAAGCAATCTGGCCTACGTTTGGGTCTCTTCTCCAGGAGACAGAAGAAGGGATGGTACTGTATGTACGAGTGTAGCTCAGCAACAGTCACAGCAGTCTGGGGCTGATGGGTTCACTGGTGACTTAAAGAGTCTGATGGGATTGTGGGTTTCCTGAAACTCACTCAGACACAGGCCAGGAAAGTACAGGCCAGGAAAGTGAAACCATTTCAGACAGTGATGCAGGCCCAGATGCAGAGCTTGAGAATCCAACTGTCTCTGCCAAGTTTTGCTCAAGTTTTTCTCATGGTTTTGGATCGAAGTATTTCATGTTCTTGCCTTGAATTCTTGCTCAAGTTTTGCTTATGGACTTAAGCAGCCTTAGTGTTTTGGAACTATTTTACCCTTGGATTCACAAGAGACAATTGATTGCCAATTATCTGGCTTATACACCTGATTTCCTTGTTTCTGGATTTTTTCTATATAGATGAATGAATGAATGTTTATGTGTCTGAATGCGGAGTAAAATGTAATATCCTCTTTGTTTGTTTGCCCGATGTAATTATATATAGTCTGTGTGTGTCTACTTTTTTCTCTGTATTGCTCTGTGATATACTCTGTTTCATTGTAAGTGAAATAAAGAAAACCTTTTTCATGTCTAAAAAATACTTATGACATCAGAGCTCAGCTCTGGCAAAGGGATGGGATTAATTTATTTATTTATTTATTTGATGCACTTATTAACCGCCATTCTCAGCCCTTACGGGCGACTCATGGCGGTGTACAGTACACATAAAAGACAGGTTACAAAAGCCAATATCCACAACACAAACTATACAACAAGTACAAACTACATAAAAATCCGCTTCGTCTCTTAGTAGAATCATAGACCAGTCTCATCATCCTTATACCATTCCAATTCTCATTACCGTAATGTTGTTGTTGATAATGATTAAACCTGCCTTTTTCTGGATATGGACCACTGGCCACATTCCACCGGACACATCTTCCAGATATGGACCCAGTCGCTGTCCACAGTAAGTGAAATACACTCTGCCTTTGGCCGGCTGCCCCGGAGGAGGCGGGGTGCCTTCGGACCTCTCCCAACCAATGCCAGCGACATCACCTAGAAGGACAGAAAAGCGGGGAGAAAGGCAAGGTCTCTGTGTGGCCCTTGAAACATAGCTGGCAAAATATGATGCTTACGGGTTCTGCACAGCCCAAACAGACCTACCAGGAGAGAGGGTGACGTCCAGCCGCACACTCTTCCACTGCAGCAAACTGGAACCATTGTAATGAACAGCTCGTCCATTGCTGAAACCACAGGGAGAAAGAAAGAAAAAAAGAAAGAGGCAGACACGTTAACTGGGGAAGAGAATTTTCCACTTTTTCTTTTGTGCGAAGTTTGGAAGCTTAACAGCTAAACTGAAGCAAAGAATTGAATCACTTCTTTCCACCATGGAATTCATAAATCTTAATGGGAAAAAGCACCAGACAATTTAAAAATGCAATATATGACCATGGATTTGGATGATCATTTTCTTGCTCTCAATGCATTTAAGAAGATTAGACAAGCAAGGCTTCAGGTTGTATAGAACTCTTCTTCATGCAAGGGACTTCATTTATTTATTTACTTTATTTACTTTGCTTGTATACCGCAGTTTCTCAGCCCGTAGGCAACTCAACGCGGTTCACAACAAGAGCAAAAAGTCAATCATAACATACAATTTAAAAACCATTAACAGCATAGTATACAAAGTAATGACACATCAATAACAACACATTAATGTCTCGTAACTAGAATCGTGATCCAATTCGTCATCCATAATTCCGTTCCTATATTCATCGTATTCATTGCACTGTTTATCCGAATGCCTGTTCAAACAGCCAGGTTTTTAGTTTTCTTCGAAACACCATTAACGAAGGAGCTGATCTAATGTCCATGGGAAGGGCGTTCCACAGCCGAGGGGCCACCACAGAGAAGGCCCTGTCCCTCGTCCCCGCCAGCCGTGCTTGTGAAGCAGACGGGATCGAGAGCAGGGCCTCCCCAGAAGATCTTAGAGTCCTGGTGGGTTCATAGGCAGAGATACGTTCGGATAGGTAGCTTGGGCCCGAACCATTTAGGGCTTTATAGGCCAACGCCAGTACTTTGAATTGAGCCCTGTAGCAAATCGGCAGCCAGTGGAGCTGGTACAGCAGAGGAGTTGTATGCTCCCTGCGCTCCGCTCCTGTTCGTATCATGGCTGCCGAGCGTTGGACTAGTTGGAGCTTCCGAGCCGTCTTCAAAGGCAACCCCACGTAGAGAGCGTTGCAGTAGTCTAAACGGGATGTAACCAGAGCGTGGACTACCGTGGCCAAGTCAGACTTCCCAAGGTACGGGCGCAGCTGGCGCACAAGCTTTGTGCGAATGCTCCCCTGGTCACCGCCGAAACCTGGGGTTCCAGGCTCAGCGATGAGTCCAGGATCACACCCAAGCTGCGAACCTGCGTCTTCAGGGGGAGTGCGACCCCATCCAACACAGGCTGTAACCCTATACCCTGTTCGGCCTTTCGACTAACCAGGAGTACCTCTGTCTTGTCTGGATTCAGTTTCAATTTGTTCGCCCTCATCCAGACCGTCACAGCGGCCAAGCACCGGTTCAGGACCTGGACAGCCTCCTTAGTAGCAGGTGGAAAGGAGTGACAGAGTTGGACATCATCCGCGTACAGATGACACCGTACCCCGAAACTCCGGATGATCTCCCCCAGCGGCTTCATGTAGATGTTAAACAACATGGGAGACAGTATTGAGCCCTGAGGAACCCCACAAGACAAAGGTTGTGGGGTTGAACAGGTGTCTCCCAGTAACACCTTCTGAGACCGGCCCTCTAGGAATGACCGGAGCCACTGTAAAACAGTACCTCCAAGACCCATCCCCACGAGGCGTCCCAGAAGGATACCGTGGTCGACGGTATCGAAGGCCGCTGAGAGGTCCAGCAGCACCAACAGGGACACACTCCCCCTGTCGAGCTCCCGGCGCAGATCATCCACTAAGGCGACCAAGGCTGTCTCGGTACCATGTCCCGGCCTAAAGCCAGACTGTGCCGGATCCAGATAATCCGTGTCTACCAAGAATGCCTGGAGTTGTGAGGCCACCACACGTTCCAGGACTTTGCCCAAAAGGGGAGATTGGAAACAGGCCGATAGTTGACGAATTGAGTGGGGTCCAGTGATGGTTGTTTCAACAGCGGTTTTATTACAGCTTGTTTTAAGCTCGCTGGAATTTTGCCTTCCTGAAGGGAGGCATTAACCACCACCATCACCCACTCGGCCAATCCCCCTCTGGCCTCCTTTAGAAGCCAGGATGGGCAGGGGTCTCGGATGCATGTGGTTGCCCTCATTCCTCCAAGTATCTTGTCCACATCCTCGGGTTTCACCAATTGAAATGAATCCATCAAAACTGGACAAGCAGATGCTCGTGTTACATCCTCAGAGACTGCCGCTAATATGGTATCCAGACCAGAGCGGATCAAGGCGACTTTGTCTGCAAAGAACTGAGCAAAGGCTTCACAGCGAGCTGCCGAGTCATCAGGGCTCCCATCCTGTGTGGTGGGTTTTAAAAGGCCTCTGACAACTCGGAAAAGTTCAGCCGGACGGTTCTTTGCAGACGCAATAGTGGCCGCAAAGAAAGTCTTCTTTGCGGCTTTTATTGCCGCGGCATATGCCCTTAAAAAGGACACAAACCGTGTTCGATTTGGCTCGCTCGGATCCGAACGCCACACGCTCTCTAGTTCCCTCTTCTTTCGCTTCAACGCTGCCAGCTCCTCAGTGAACCAAGGAGCTGGTTTAGCTCGGCTACTTGAGAGGGGACGTTCTGGAGCGATCGTGTCTATTGCTCTAGCCATCTCCCCATTCCAGAGAGCGACCAGAGCATCGACAGGATCACCAACCGAAGTGGCGGGAAATTCCCCAAGAGCCATCAGGAATCCATCCGGATCCATAAGCCTCCTGGGGCGGACCAACTTAGTGGGTCCTCCACCTCTGCAGAGGTTGGGGGGTGCAGTAAGTCTAAATCTGACTAGGTGGTGGTCGGTCCATGGCAACAGTGAGATGGACAACTCCTCAACACCACCACCTTCCTCCTATCCCTGGCAGAAAACCAAATCCAATGTGTGTCCTGCACTGTGAGTGGGGCCAGATACCCATTGGGACAACCCCATGGTTGCCATGGCAGACATGAAGTCCTGAGCCACTCCCGATAGGGCGGCCTCGGCATGGACATTGAAGTCCCCCAGCACAAGCAGCCGTTGGGACTCCAATGCCAGGTCATTTAGTGTGTATGTGGGTTTGTCACAGAAAAAAAAGCGTTAATAAGTCTCTGTCCAAGCTGGAGTGGGGGTAACAACCATTTGAATTTCTGGGTTGCTCAAAGAAATAGCCCTGAAACAAAAAGAATATCTTCTTCCCACCATTTCCCTTCCCATTCTCCATGATCTCCCCACTGTCTAATTGAGATGGAAAGCCCTCCAGTGCAGGGGGCTACCTTCTTTAATGTTGCAAAGTGCCAGGCCCATAGATGGTGAAAGGTCATCACTGTCAGAAATTTTAAATATTAACTAGGTATTTTTATTACAAAAATGTGAGTCAAGCACTGAAAGAGTACGCCAAAACCTGTTAAGAGGCAGTGGGCCAAGGCTAGTGCTGTCCTGAGGAGAGTGAGTAGGCTGAAACCTGTTAGAATTAGTGGTCAAAGCTAGTGTCGTTCTGAGGAGTGTGAGGTAAATGATTATAGGTTGCTTACCTGTAACCGTGATTCTTCGTGTGGTGATCTGTGAAATTAGCACATATGATAGTTGATGCACCTGTGCAGCAATCACTGGAAACCTCTGAAAAGGTGAGAAGGCTTGTGGCTACAGCCCCGCCCCTCTCCTCATGAGGCATATATGCTGTAGGAGGGGCTGTTAGGTCCAGTTCCCTGCCACTGTGCAGCGACCCAAGACTGGAGGCATGATCTGCGGGGAGGAAGAGCGGGGATGTGCTAATTTCACAGATCACCACTCGAAGAAACATGATTACAGGTAAGAAACTATCATTTCTCCTTCGTGGTGTCTGGTGAAATAAGCACATATGATAGGCTAGCAAGCCACAAACCTTGGATGGTGGGCGTCATGCCACTGCCAAGAAGAGAACCACTCTGCCAAAAGCGGCCTGCCTCCTTGACTGGACGTCCATCTTATAATGGGTGGCGAATATCAACGGAGTGGTCCAGATTGCTGCCCGACAGATGTCATCCAATGGAACTCCACGAAGGTAAGCTGCCAACATAGCGACTGCTCTTGTGGAGTGGCCCCTCAGATGTACTGGCGGATCCTTGCCCGCCATTTGATAGGCAAGTCTGATGGTTGAGATCACTCATGCCGAGAGGCGTTGGGGGGAAACAGGCAGAACTTTGGTGTCACTGCAGTACTTCACAAAAAACCTAGGAGACTGCCTGAAGTCTTTCATCCTGTGAAGGTAGGAGAGTACTCTGCAGACATCGAGAAGATGAAGCGCCCACTCAAACTCTGTTTGTGGAACTTGAAAGAATGCTGGAAGCACCATGTCAAAGCGACCTTAGGGAGGAAGGCGATGTCGGTTCTGAGAACCACCTTGTCCCTATGAAAACGGGGGTAGGGCTCATCAACATGGAGTGCACACAACTTGCTGGATCTGCGAGCCGAGGTGACTGCTACCAAGAAAACAACTTTCCACAAAAAGATGAGAAAGATCGGCTGTAGCCATGGGTTCAAAAGATGGCTTCATCAATGCTGACAAAACAAGGTCAAGCTGCCAAGAGGGAGGTGGATGGGAGACTGGTGGCCGGAGATTCCTGTACCCTCTAAGGAAAAGTTGGACAAGAGGGTCCTGAAATCAGGACGAGCCACCTTCCCTGCGGCGATACGCTGACAGCGCCACAAGATGTCTCTTGATTGAAGAAAGCACCAGGCCCTCATCTGCCAATGTTGCAAGGAACTGAAGGGGTGAAGTAGGGGCCTGCAGAGGCTGCACACCATGTTGGCGTGTAAACATTGCAAAGCGCTTCCACTTAGCCTTGTATGAGCGCTGTGTTGATGGCCGGTGTGCAACGTTGAGGATGGCCGTTACTGCTTCAGGTCGCGGTGCGGCCTGACCCGCCATGCCATCAGACAGAGCAAGTTGAGGTCTGGGTGATGGGCACAACCATCCTGAATGGTGAGCAAGTCTGGCCGACTGCTCAGCAGCAGATGATCACCCGCAGCCATGGTCTTGAGGAGGGCGAACCAGGGTTGCCTTGGCCACCAAGGTGTTATCAGGATG